GAATAATTCTTTTATTGTACTGTTGAATTTGATTTGCTAGTGTTTTTTGTTGAGAATTTTTGCCTCCAGATTCATCAGGGATATTGGCCTCCAATTCTCCTTTTTAGTAGGGTCTTTACCTGGTTTTGGAATCAAGGAAATACTGGCTTCATAGAATGAGTCTGGAAGCTTTCCTTCCATTTCTATTTTTTGGAACAGTTTGAGCAGAATAGGTATTAACTCTGCTTTGAATGTCTGGTAGAATTCCCCCTGGGAAGCCATCTGACCCAGGACTCTTATTTATTGGGAGATTTTTGATAACTGATTCAATTTCTTCCCTGGTTATGGGTCTGTTCAAATTTTTATTTCTTTCCACTTGAGTTTTGGTAGTATCTAGGAATTTGTCCATTTCTTCCTGATTGTCCAATTTGGCATAAAATTTTTCATAGTATTCTCTAATAAATGTATTTCTGTGGTGTTGTGATCTCTCCTCTTCCTTTCATGATTTTTATCTATTTGGGTCCTCTCTCTTTAGTTTTTGAGAAATCTGGGTGTAGGTTTATCAATTTTGTTTATTCTTTCAAAAAACCAGCTCTTAGATTCATTGATCTGTTCTACTCTTTGTTTGTTTTGGATTCTATGTCATTTATTTATGATGTAATCTTTACAGTTTCCCTTCTTCTACTGGTTTTGGGTTTATTTGCTGCTGAATTTTGGGGTCCTTTAGGTGTGAGGTTAGATTGTGTATTTGGGATCTTTCTTGTTTCTTGAGATAGGCCTGAGCTGCAATGTATTTTCCTCTTAGGACTGCCTTTGCTGCATTTCAAAGGGTTTGGACTGTCGTGTTTTCATTTTCATTTGCATCCATGTATTTTTTAATTTCTTCTTTAATTTCCTGATTAATCCATTTATTCTTTAGTAGAATGTTCTTTAACCTCCATGTATTTGGGATATTTCCAAATTTTTCCTTGTGGTTGATTTCAAGTTACATAGCGTTGTGATCTGAAAATATGCATGGTATGATCTCAATCTTTGTGTACTTGGGCTGTTTTGTGACCAGTATGTGATCTATTTGGAGAATGTTCCATGTCCACTCAAGAATATGTATTCTGCTGATTTAGGATGAAAAGTTTTGAATATATCTGTTAAGTCCATCTGGTCCAATGTGTTATTCAGAACCATTGCTTCCTTATTGATTTTCTACCTAGATAATCTGTCCATTGTTGTAAGTGTAAGTATAATTACATTATCAGTAAGTTTGCTTATGTTTGTGATTAATTGATTTATATATTTGGGTTCTTTCATGTTGGGGCATATTTATGATTGTTAGCTCTTCTTGATGGATAGATGCTTTAATGATATAATGCCCTTCTTTATCTCTTGTTATTGTCTTGGTTTTAAAATCTAGTTTGTCTGATGTAAGTATGGCTACTATGGCTTTCTTTTGACATCCATTAGCATGATAGGTGGTTCTCCATCCCCTTACTTTCAACCTGCAGGTGTCCTGAGGTCTAAAATGAGTCTCTTGTAGGCAGCATATAGATGGATCTTGTTTTTTTTATCCATTCTGATACCCTATGTCTTTTGATTGAGGCATTTAGTCCATTTACTTTCAGAGTGATTATTGAAAGATATGAATTTAGTGCCATTGTGTTATCTGTAGGTTTTGTGTTTGTGGTGAGGTTTCTGATCTTTTGTAGTCTTTGCTGCTTTCCATTCAGAGGGGTCCCCTTACGATCTCTTGCAGGGCTGGTTTAGTGGTCATGAATTGCTTTAGTTTTTGTCTTAATCTCTCCTTCTATTCTGAATGACAGCCTTGCTGGATAAAGGATTCTTGGCTGCATATTTTTTCCTATTCAGCATATTGAATATTTCCTGCCACTCCTTTCTGGCCTGCCAAGTTTCAGTGGAAAGATATACTATTACCCTTACAGGTTAAGGACCATTTGTCCCTAGCTGCTTTCAGAATTCTCTTTGTATTTTGCCAGTTTCACTATGATACGTTGTGGTGTTGATCTGTTTTTGTTGATTTTGAAGGGAGTACTCTGTGTCTCTTGGACTTGAATGCCTGCTTCCTTTCCCAGATTAGGGAAGTTCTCAGCTATAATTTGTTCAAATAAACCTTCTGCCCCTTTCTCTTGCTCTTCCTCTTCTGGAACTTCTATGACACAGATATGGTTTCATTTCATGTAATCACTTAGTTCTCTAATTTCCCCCCTTTTGATCCAGTAATTTCCTTTCCCTCTTTTTTTCACTTCATCATTTCCCATAATATTATCTTCTGTTTCACCTATTCTCTGTTCTGCTTCTTCCATCCTTGCTGTCACTGTGTCTAGTTTATTGTGCACCTCAATTATAGTACTTTCATCGTGACTGTTCTCAGGTCTTTGATCTCTGCAGCAAGAGTTTCTCTGCTGTCTCCTATACTTTTTTCAAGGCCAGCTATTAGTCTTATGACTGTTAATCTAAATTCTTGTTCAGATATATTGTTTATATCTGTCTTGAGAGCAATTCTCTGTGATTTATCCCAGAATTTTCTTTTGGGGAGGATTCTTCCATTTTGTCATCTTGGCTAAGTTTCTGGCTTTTGTGTATTTTAAAAGCTTGAGATAGGCCTGAGCTGCAATGTATTTTTATCTGTATTTAGCTGCAATGTATTTTTTGCACCTGAGAGTACTATTTTAAAAAGGGATCATACCCCATCCAGGACCTGACACTTCAGGAAGTGTTTTTGGTGCATGCACTCTGTTGTCGTGTATTTGGCTGCTCTATTCCACTGGACAGTCCTCTGCAGAGTTCCTCCCTGCTTGTAGTGGTGGAGTGTTTGGACCTTCAGCCAGATGTGCTTTGATTTGTCTGTTTAACCCTGGAAAAAGAAAACGAGGAGGGGGCGGGGGGGAGCCTGATCCCACAGAAAGAGAAAATTGAGAGAAAAGACCAGAGAAAACTGTAAAGCTAAGTTCAGAGAAAGAGAAAGGAAAAAAAGCAGGTCCCCCCTCCACTGGGGGCTCTGCTGCACTCTGAAGCCCCACTGTGTTGGTGATGGGGAAAAAATGGCAACACCCCAATTTCTCCTCCCCAGATCGAGTGTCTCAAACCACACTGTTCATGCAGCCCTCCGAGAGTAGCTGGGGGGTCAGCTTGCCCTGCTCCAGTCTCTCACGCCTCCTAGGCACTCAGCCGGGATTCAAAACCCCATGTCTTTTTTTTAAATTTTTTTTTTCAACGTTTATTTATTTTTGGGACAGAGAGAGACAGAGCATGAATGGGGAAGGGGCAGAGAGAGAGGGAGACACAGAATCGGAAACAGGCTCCAGGCTCTGAGCCATCAGCCCAGAGCCCGACGCAGGGCTCGAACTCCCGGACCGCGAGATCGTGACCTGGCTGAAGTCGGACGCTTAACCGACTGCGCCACCCAGGCGCCCCCAAAACCCCATGTCTTAAGGGGCCCTGCACTTTGCAGACCCTGTTCTGGTGTAGTGCCACCCTGCCCTGCTGATAAAAGGTCTTTGGCTGGTACCTATAGGAACTCTTGTCCTTGGGGAGGCAATAAACCCTCTTCCCACAATACTCAAGGAAGGGGGCTGTTCTCTTCCAGTGTACCTCTGAGATCGTTACACTGCACTATGCATTCTGGGCTGGATCCCTCCTCCCCAGGAGCACAGCCATGTTTCCAGCTCCATTTGGAGAAAGGAGAAAGTGAGGCATTTTTGTACCTTTGAGTTTCAGCTCGAGGCTAGATCCTGCCAAGCTGTCTCCCTCCACCTGAGGAGATCTTTCTGCCACTCCGCAGATCGAATTCCTGGGTGTTTCAAGTGATCTGACCTCAATACTGCTGTGTTTGAGGGTTGAGGAAAATCCTGGTCCCCCTACTTCTCTGCCATCTTAAACCAATACTTACCATTTTAATCGTATAGTCTGCATGACTGTAAATGGGATAAATATAAATCATGACTGCTATCTTTTTTGGAATAAGGTGGTGTTTATATAATTTTTTTTTTTAACTAAAGTGTATTTATTTTTGAGAGAGGGAGGAAAGAGAGAGAGAGAGAGAGAGAAAAAGAGAGAGAGAATATATGGGTGGGGGAGGGGCAGAGAGAGAGGAGACAAGAGAATCCCAAGCAGGCTCTTAGTTCTCAGCACAGAGCCTGACTTGGGGCTCAAACTCACAAACCATGAGAACATAACCTGAGCCAAAGTCAAGAGTTGGGGCACTTAGTCAACTGAATGTCCCTATATAATCATTTTTACTTTTACCAAATTTGAATCATATAGACCATATTCCTTTATATTAGAAGGCTGCATCAAATCTCTAGATTTTTTTTGTTTTTATTTTTGTTTTACATTTATTTATTTTTGAGAGACACAGCAGGAGCAGGAGAGGGGCAGAGAGGGAGGGAGACACAGAACCTGAAGCAGTCTCCAGGCTCTGAGCTATGAGATCATGAGAACATGATCTGAGCCAAAGTTGGGCGCTTAACCAACTGAGCCACCCAGGTGTCCCTCAAATCTCTAAATCTTCAAATTATTTTCAAATTAGGTGGAAAATGATATTATACCTTCATTTGTCATCTGGAATTACAGTATTTATCAATTTGTATCATTTTGTGAATTGCATATTCATGTCTTTTGCCCATTTTCTTATTTGCAAAAGACTAACACAATAGCCATTTACCGTAACTATTACAAATGTCTTCCTGATTTAATGTTTTTGATATGCAAAAAATACTTACATAGATGAATTTTCTTTAATTCTCTCCACATTTAGGTAAGCTTTTGCACCCTGCGATCAGTAAATATTTGCCTACCCTCCTCCCCACCCCCAGCCCCCTTTTATTTTACCCATGTTTTTAGAAAAGCCTTAGAGCCAGGAGTATTCTCTTGCGCACTCACTCAGCAGACAAGACTTTGATGACATAACATGAAGGCTTATTTTATGAGAATGAGTGGATCCTTCTTAACATGGCTTATGATCTGGAATCCTCAATCACATACTGTGTTTCCTGCCAAAATATACATTTATGTTTTCTTCATTCAGTTACCTAACAGCTGTCCCCTATTTTCTTAGGTGTCCAAGAACACTGATGGCAAACTTTAAGGGCCATGCTCTCCCAGGGAGTTTTTTCTTGATAGTTGGACTGTGGTGGTCAGTGAAGTATCCACTGATATACTTCCACCAAAAGGGGAAAAGCAGCCAACTGACTCATTACCATCAGCGCCTTGAGATCATTGAAGCCGCAATCCGAACTTTGTTTTCAGTCATTGGTAAGAAGGGGCTTATCTGGTCCAGGGGTCTCCCCATCACATGCAGAACTTGAACCCATTTTCTGGTCCCTGTGAAATGGATGTTTCCACCAGCAGATAATAAACAGGGATATTCAGTTGGCCAGTAAAAATTTTATAGTATCTGTTGTGCACTGAGCTTTGTAATGTTAACAGTTAATAGCACCTTACATCGTAGCGCACCATGAAACACTGCCAAATAAACTACATTCTTTGCCCTAGAAGGACACAGGTATAAGATGTAGGAACAGAAGATATACTTTATGAGAAAGGTAAAACACAAATAAAAATAGAACAGAACAAATTAGAGTGAGCTCATGTACATGAGTTATAAGAAAGTACTAAATGGAGTTTAGCTTTAGAAAAAAACCATCTTTTTTCCAATTGTCCACTAGAATCTCAAGAGTAGTTACCACCCACTTCCTCGGCATATCCTCCAACCCCAAATCTCAAGCAATTACAAAGACGGGAACTTGATGTTGGACGGCTAATAAGAGAGGCAGTGGAAGAGACCCCCAAAAAAAGCCAACAGAGGGCTGTCTGAAAGGGATTTTCCCTTACTGTGTCCCATTCCAACAAAATTTCACATCCTTCCACCGTGACTGGTCATCCATTCCACTCCACTAATGGCCACATGAAAAAGGGCCAGCAGTGCCAATAGTAGAAAGTGTTCTTCCTCAGGATCCGCTCTGAGTAATGTGAGTAATGAGGGATCTTATTCTGCACTTGCATTTTGCCACGAATCACTTTGGCTGTCTCTCAGAAGGAATGGAAGCAACACCAGCAGCTTCTCTTGGAGGGAGCAAAGGTGCTTAGCTTGGTTTGCCTGGTCTAGCTGAATTTTCCCATTCACCATCCAGGCATCTCATCTTTCTGGAGTTGAGAAGTGACAGGAACTATATGGCTTAAATGCTAAGGACAGCATCAACTTTGCCTAGAAAATAGAGCCAGAAAAATATTTGGCCTCTTTGCTGGGTGAAAATTAATAGTCACTCAACGTCTCCTGAGCTCCTACCATGTGCAGGAACTCACTGCTCCAGGTTTTTAGGCTACAAGGGGGAACCAAACAGTCCCTGCTGCCACAGGACTTCCATTCTAGTGTCAGTGGGCCTCCCTTCTCCCAGCTTGTTTACACCAATTCCTTGATCCTTCATGCATAAATTCAGGAAGGGGCTGGGTTTAAAACAAAACAAAGTTTGGAGAACAGGGTTCAGAATGTGGCCGTAGAGAATTATTCGAGGCCCCAAGAACGTTATGGCACCAGGCATAAAGGCCAATCTTTTGCTTTCCTAAACAAAAGACAGAGAAGGGACAAGAACTGAGAGCTACCCCATCTCAAAGGCTTACGTCTCCTGACACCGCAGTGAAGGGACCCTCACCTGCTTCTCCCAGTGTTTAGGGCACAGAGACTGAAAGCTAGAGGAAGGTGCTCACTCTGTGCTCAGGAAAACCATGCACTTGAAGTCAGCCCTCACAGACACACCTGGCAGCTGCTTCTCCCCCTTAGGCGTGCACAGGTACCTTTATCACCAGCGTGTCTCTGCTCAGATTCCATTATTTGCCACCTACTTGTTCCTTTCCGCGACTTCTTTCACTGCTCACTGAGCCCCGAGATGAACATACCAGCCACATTCTCACATAAGTGATGATGCCTTGCCTTCATCTCAGCCACTGGACAAATATCCTGGGGACCTGTGTGGCTGTTTCTATTGCTTCCTTGCTCTGCACCCCCACCCCCAAAGAAACAACAAAGGCAAGAGGTCTACACGGGCTCCTCAGCAAATGCCTTCTTTTATACTCAAGTAGCTGCATCTGAGAGAGCAAAGTAGGCTTTCACCCGCATCTCGCATCTCGACTTCATTCATGACTTGGGGGCATCTGTTTCCCATCTGCCCCGGAGCTACACTTCCCTCCTTAATTTCCACTCTCACTTCCCTGCAGGGATCCTGGCAGAGCAGTTTGTTCCAGATGGGCCCTACTTCCACCTGTACCATGAAAACCAGTGGGTGAAGTTGATGAACTGGCAGCACAGCACCATGTATCTGTTCTTTGCAGTCTCGGGAATCGTGGACATGCTCACCTATCTCGTCACCCACGTTCCCCTGGGGGTGGACAGATTGGTTATGGCTATGGCAGTATTCACTGAAGGTAACTTAGGGGTAGGGATGGAAAAAAATAACAAAGTAAGAGACAAATTGCATTTGTAACAGACCAGAATATAAAGACCAGAAGTACTGCAAAGATAATAACTTTCCCCAGAAAATCCAAATCTCTGAATTTCAAAAACCTGAATGGGACTTGGTCCTGTGCTCTGGATGATACAGGTGACATATCCCATAAAACAGCACATGAAAACCTGAGGCTCTTAGCCGGTCTCTGGCTCTCTGCACACAGCCTCTCCCTGCTCCCTCCCCCCATCACACTCATGTACCTGAGTGCACACTGAAACACATAAGAACTCTCCAAAACGTGGATGGATGCTACCCATGCCAGAGAACTCCCTCTGTCCGGGGGAAGAGACACTGTACTCCACCCCCCACCCAGGAGTGTTCTTGCCTGGACTCCATTGCAAACCTCAGGAGACCCACCCAGCAGCTAGGACAGATCTCCCAATATAACTCATATTAACCAGAGTAATGAGAAGGCACTTTGTAATCCAACCACCTCACTTCTGTACCCCAGGAAGAGACGAAGAAAGGTTGAATCGGGGCAAAACTGAATTTCAAGTACACATACACACACGATTTGTCACCAATCAGCAACGTTTTTCACCTACACATCCTGTATTGAAGCTACCACGGGTTAAGAGATTTTAAGACACATCCTTTGCAATTTATATCCACTTCATACACAAAATAAATCTAATCTGCGTCTGTTGCCCCACGTCACATAAACTGACTTTGTAACTGCTGAAAAATCTCGCTTTGAGACAGGTGTAAGAGGGCATTCTAGCAATGGAGTAGAAACCAGCAAATCTCTGATGGCTGAAATGGCTTTGTGCAGGTTTTCTCTTCTACTACCATGTCCATAACCGACCACCCTTGGACCAGCACATCCACTCACTCCTGCTGTGTGCACTGTTTGGAGGGACTTTCAGCATCTTCTTAGAGGTGATCCTCCGGGACAACATTGTGCTGCAACTTTTCCGAACCACTCTTGTTATTCTTCAGGGCACCTGGTTCTGGCAGGTAATTTTTCAAAACAGTGCGCTTCACATTGTGTGGATTCAGGGAGCCCCACTGAGTTTGTCCAAGAGAAGTCATGTAGGGGCAGCACTGACATGCCATGTGAGTGGGTTGAGATGGCCACTGGTCTCCCCATGTCCGCCCCATGACTTAATTTTACCCATTAATACCTTGCTCACGGATCGACAAGCAGAATCCACGGAGCATACAGAGCGAGCATATTAAGAAATTCCCCATCTGCCCTCCCCAGTGGAGGTGCTGACCCCATTCACAGGGCTTCACATGCAGTACTTTCAGGGGTCATTTCTATAGTTTGTTACAAGCTCCACTTGCTAAACTGCTGACTTGCAATGTGGGCCCTGAAATTTCATTTTAATAAGCCCATACTAAAACCAGAATTGACTCAGGTCAGTTCTCCTATGCAAAAAGGCCTTTTCTATGCTAACGGAGGTATGAGAAATAGGAGGTAATGGGAATGCATGGAAACTTGGGTAGCATGGGAAGGACGTAAGCTTGTGCCTCTCAGAACCAACTAAGGCCGACTTCTCTGTACTACCCACCAGATCGGGTTTGTGCTGTTCCCACCGTTTGGAGCACCCGAATGGGACCAGAAAGATGAAGCAAACATCATGTTCATCACCATGTGTTTCTGCTGGCACTACATGGCTGCCCTCTGCATTGTGGCCATCAACTACTCTCTCGTTTACTGGTAAGCCCAAAGGAAGACAACTTTTGTCTAGCTTTTTTCTCCTAACCCCTTGTCCCCAAAATCTACTGCACTGCATTTTTATTTCCAGTGTCCCACATTTCATAACTAACCAGTGCTAACTTCCACCACTTCATGAGTGCCAAATACTTGCCAAGTTCTGTGCAAGGTAGTCTACACCTGCAAACGGGCAAGATATTAAAAGGCTGAAGGGCTGTCTGGTCGTAGTAACCTCACAGACTCAGGTTTCAAAGGCAGTTCTGACAGACTGGAAGGCTGTCGGGTGAAAGGAAAACCTGTGAATTAGGCATCGGTACTGGACCGCAGACCCTTGTTCCTGGATCTGCCCCACCTCCTCCCCAGAGATGTGACAATCAGACACGATGCCATGACAGCAAGTACCCTTTTGAGGGCTATTCAGAGGTTACTGGGATAGCTGATCATTCCTGTTCACTCACTCTCCCAGGCACTGTGGGAAGCACAAGTCTATTACACCACTGCACCCTCATTGTTTTATGAAGTATACACGGTAACATTTTACAGATGGGGAAACCAAGGCTTGAAAGACTAACTTGATCAAGGTCACCCTATGAGTCAATGGCAGACCGTCTTGAACTGCAGAGCAAGCGACTTTTAGGATATGCTATTATTAGTTCTGTCATTGTAGCTGCCCCTCTAGTTTCTGATTTACCTACCCAAAGCAGATATACATCACATACACAGTTCCACGCAGATCAAGCTGAAGAGAAGGTCACAGTTTCCTTTAGTTCTACTGCCTGGTCAGTGAAACATACACTGGGAGGCAGGAGACCTAGGTTTAGTCTGTTATGACATTAACTATTAAACTTTATTAATCATGAGTCCCTTTATCTACCAGTGAACACTGCCTAAGAAGTGAGATATGCAGACAACCACAGCATCTGGTGGACTTACAAAGAAAATGCGCTAAGAACCAGTAGATACTTTAACATAACTAACTTGGTTGAGAGAATAAGGGAATTCGGGGGGCTAATTTCATGGTTTCTTATTGTTACTCTATTATAGCCATTTGACTCGGTTAAAGAGGTGCGGAGGAGAAATCATTGGGATTCAGAAGCTGAAGTCAGATCACACTTACCAGACGGCCCTCCTGACTGGCTCAGATGAAGAGTGAGGAGGCTACCCGTCATCAGTGCGGGGTGGACATGTCCCTTTGAGCACAAACAGCTAGAGTGTGCAAAGGTGTAGCTTGTCTCCTCCATTTCAATGCTTCCTTTGGTCTGCTCTTACAGTTCTATGTATTTGCACTTTCTCATTTAATTGGCTAAAGTTTGTGTTGCTGTGGTATCCTTCATAAAGAAAAATGATGCAAGCCTTTACTTTTGTCTCAGTATGAAGAGAAATCAAAGACTCTGAAAGTTTGAGAACAGGAAGTGGCCACGGGATGAGTCTGGGATAGGAATCCAGCAGAACATCCTGCTTTTGATAACTTCTCTCTTTTTCAAATTTCAAGAAAACAGGTACTTTCTTATCAGAAAGTAAATACACGAGACTGACTTTATTTTAAAGATACAATTCTACCACGTACTTCTTAAAGTAATAGTTCACAAACTTTGGTACTTTAAATGTTACTAAACATTTCCTAATTTACCATTAATATTCCAGAGTACTGTAATATTACTGATAAGTCACGACGTTGGGCCAAAGGTATTTTTTTGTTTTGTTTTGTTTTGTTTTTTTAATCAGAAAGCTAGTCAGTGGCCCAGCTGAGAGCTGGAACGCAAATGTTCTGGCTCCTCAAAAGAACTCTAATAAGAAGACACTAACAGGAAGTCTGTATAATGAGGTAGAAAAATGGCAGGTTGCCGAAGACCTTGAATTTCAATACAGCTGAAAGCAAAGCATAAGAATCGTGCAAAAGATGTGACTCTTGAACTAGTAATATAAAGTCCTGACAGTCTAATCTTGGTTCTGGATCTGGTTTTTTCTTTTTTTTAAAAAACTTCCTTCAACAAATATTTATTAAACATCTACTTTGCGCCAGCACTGAAATGGTTGAAAGGATTAAGGAGATCCCTGTCCAGCAAGGAATTCAGTCTAATGGCGAAGATATGAAAGCGTTTACATACAGGGTGACTGGTGCCCTAAGGGGTAAGTACAACTACAAGGGAGGGGAGAAGATGGGGAGTTTGCCCTGTAGGAAAAAAAAAAGCACGTTCCAGGCACAGAGAATAGGATGCACAAAGGCCACAAAATCACAAAGGAACATGGAGAGTTGGTAAAGTTCTACAAACGGATAAAAGTGGCCTAGGCCAACTCTGAAAGGTCTTCCAGACCAAGTACCGTTGGTTTGCACAACACTTTCCACACTCTGAAATGCACTGTATCCCACCTGATTCACACAACCATCTGTAATGGAAGCCACGTTAGGTTCTTCAGAGAAGTTGATTAGCCAAAGGTCACACAGCTACCAAGTTGGGAAGCCAGCCTTCAGGACTCAAAAGCCAGCTTCCTTCCTGCTACTTCCCACAAATGCGGTAGAGATCTTTTACACAAAGCACCGGGTGCTCTCTGGAAGAAATGCTGTACTTAAGTGAAAGCTGACCTCCCACGGTTAGCCAGCCTTTCAATGCTGAAGTCACACGTCAGAGGTTAAGAATGAGCTACTTGAAAATATAGTTATGAGAAGAGAACCTGTGGTCCCCTTTCAGGGTCTACTTTCATTGGCCTGCTAACTAGGAAACCACACTTTCATTCAACAAGTACTGAAGGATCTATTATGAGCAATTAATTTAAAACATATTCTTTCTTTAGAGACTGGAAGTGGGTATAAGGAACCTATTCCCAGTTTTACTTTCATAGTAAAGATCTCTATTTTAGGTTTGAAGGGTGGGGGAAGTGCACCACACTCTAAGGAAATGCAGTATTTTCTCCAGAGCAAGCAGTTGAGGTGTGAAGACCAGATATACAATATTGAAACTTACTGTAAAATCCCTTTCACAGCAGCAGTTTGGGGTACCTTCATGGAATTGGTCAACCCTGGAGAAAAACATTCTTAGATGCGTTTACAATACAAACCCATCACAAACAATCCTATTCACCGAATCCGGTCTTAGACATGTGGTCTGACCACTTTTACCAACCTCTGAACCTCAGCGTCAGAGGCTCAGTGGCTGCCATGAGTTCTTCTGGACTTACTGCCCCCCCAAAACAGCCACCATCGCTACCACATCTCTACAAGACCCCTGAGGTCTGTATGCACAGAACCACATTGCACAGCATGCAAATGCTGGTGATGTCACTTCAACAACTCCAGCTGGGGCTTGCCATTCCTCAGTACTCCACTGACAGGCTGGACAGTACCAAATCGTACTTACCAGGGAGTCAGTCCTACACTAACATCCTGAAACATCCCTGTTCCCCAAGCATGCAGACAAATGTCTGCAGGCACTCAGGGACAGGCACAGCCAGGTGACTTCAGTAAAGAAAAGTCAGTGAAGGGCTGGGGCTGAATGCCAGAGCTACCTTCATGAAATCCTTTGTTAAGTAAATTCAGAAGGGGTTTGTTTTAACCAACAATAAATACCTGAGACAGGATCCCTCAAATTTCTACCGTTTTCTCATTCAGACACTGTCACGTGGACTCTTCATGTGAAATGTGCCTCTAGGAAGCAATGATGTGCAAATATCAAAGTACTGGAGAACACAGACGTGCTCTCCTCCACTCGGCTAAAAGGCCATTTTTCTCCTTCATGGCAGTCCCTACCTCTCCCCCCTTCCCAGTGGGACATCTGTGCCAGCCCCCCACTACTAGCAAAAGCTCAGTCACCTCTCCGCCAATTCTCCTCAGCTCTCTGTACCTTGGGCTTACCACCCTAGCTCCAACTGTCCCCACAGCTCAGCATGACATACAGCCATCCTCCCCTAGGAAGGCAAAAGAAAGGATACTTAAAATCAGAAGACTGGATTTATGTCTTTTTCTCTTTAACCTCAACTCAGACTCACCACTTCTCTCAGAGATGAGAAGTTAGAAGACGGTTGATGATGTCTATTTACAGAACTGCTTTAAAAATCAAATGCAAGGTCTCAAAAGCCACAAGCCACCCTGACCTTCTCTGCAATCTTCCTGATCACTCAGCTTCCACCTTGCAACCCCTCTAAACTACACCATTGGGACCTTCTGCCCCTCAACTCCACTTCCTCACCAGACCCCATAAAAGATCATCACTGAACTTCCAGATTAAAGACACATCTTTAATAATCTGGAAACGAGAGAGAAAGGCTCTGACACTGCAGAACAGCCTTGCCATCCAACCCCTGCTCCCATACAAAAGAGGCATATATTGTTAACAACCAGTGCTTTACTTACTTACTACATTTAAAAATACTGTTCTGAGCTCTGCCACAGCTTGATGGAGGCTGAGAAATGAGAGGCAGCCAGGATTAAAGGACTTGTAAACCCCGACTGACCTCTCCTGTGACTGTGCTGCTTCGTCCGCCCAGTGGGCACACCCACTCACTCTCTCTTCTTGCCGCCTCTCCTCTGGAGCAGAAGCCTGCAAAGTTTTACTTAACGGGCCTGAGGACATAAGAGACATTTTAGGCCTGAGGAGCATCTGGACTCTATGGCAACTACTCAGTTCTGCCTCCTGACTGCAAGCAGCCAAGGATAATACATAAGCAAATGGCCATGGGCTGTGTTCCAATAAGACTTTATTTACAAAAACGGGTAGCCAGCCCCAGGGCTGTGGTTTGCAGACTCTTGCCCTGGAGCAAAGCAAAACATATAATCTCTGAACTGCAATAAAGTCTATGCCGCAAGAGCAGCATGTCTGCTGGCACTTGCCTATCCTGTCCACAGGCTCTGGACTTCTGTGTGAACAGGCCTGACAAGGAGGACAAAGTCAGCAGATGAAGATACGGACCACAGTCAAGATCCTGATACCTCATCTTTATGAGGTAGTGCCAAACTAATCCCATTTCAGGGAACCCACGCTATCTCACTTATCTCGCTCCCTTGGTTTCTTACCCAGCTGACAGCCTCCCCATTGCCATGCAGCTCTCAAGTCAGCCACCAACTCACTGAGAATCCTGCTACTCTCCCATTCTGGTCAAGAGAATAATCAGTTCGGGGCAGTGGGGAGTGGGGGCTTTATAAAACCCAGGTTTCCACTGGATAAAGACATACAACAGGTTCTTTAAAAAAATAAGTTACGTAAAAATTTCTGGACATAAAATTCCTATCCAGACCACTAGTCACAGAGAAGACCAGAAGCTAAAAAAAAAATACAATCCACATCGAGAACGAGGCTTACTGACGGTCTGCACGCTCTGCAGCTGTAAGCCTTCCCCCGGTGTCTGGCTCTCAGGAGAGAACCATGGCTCGTGTGGCACAACTATGACTTCATCCCCAAACAGAGGAGCTTCTCCTGGATCGGAGCGGAACAGCCCTTGGAGCCTGGAGGGGACTTTTCTCAGCATGCTCCACTGTGGAGTGTGGTGGCAGAATCCACGCCACTGTTGCCATCATCCCACTGCTGGCCTTCCCTTCAACAGACAAGCTGAGAAGGACGACACAACCTCCCTGCTCCCCTCCTTTAAGCCAGAAGGGCAGCCTGGGTGTGTGCTTTCACGGACGTCATCTTTCTCTCTCTGAATCACTGCTGTTCAGGTGCCTGTTTAGGAGATGGAGCTGTGGTCACAACAACAGTGGAGACTGCTTTGGAGGAACCAGAAGCTGTTCCCTGTTGAAGATGGGATGCAGGGACAGTCTGGATGCGCACCTGTTTGCAAAGAGAGACGGTCTGGTCAACAGGCTGCAAACGAGCTCCTCAGCTGAGAGCAAACAGCAAGAGAAAAAGAGGCCTGGTAGAGCCCACCGTTTGCCTGGAACCCTTACCTGTGTGGCCTGGCCTTGCTGCTGAAGCTGCTGCAACTGCTGGGCAGTGAGGAAACTAACTGGCTTGTTGCCGGCAATGAGCTTAGTCCCCGCTGGCATGGTGGTCAGGATGATATTGCGGCCCAACCCGCCGAGGCTGTGAATGGAAAGCACCAGTGAAGCATAATGACAGGCAGGGTGCTCTCTCTGGCCCAGAATGAGGCCGCATGTTTAAGGAAAACAGGAAGGTCAGCAGCACAGTAAAAATCCCTGCATTCTAGACTGAAATGGAAACCAGCTGGTGAGACCACCTTTCTCCTAGCTTCTATGCTTCCCATAAAAAAAGAGCAAGCCCAAAGGCCCCCAGGGCTCTGGATACAATGACCCCAACATCCATATCTCGATCAGTAGAAATAATGGACAGGACCCCAGGAAGGTGTGTGTTTCAGACAAGAAACTCTCCCCCAAAACAGCCACCTTCCAACCATCAGACTGATTTCATCATGCCCCTTATCCTGGTTTAAGTCAAGACCAAAGGAAGGCCAGCTTCCCAAGTAAGACCTCCTGCTCAGAACACCACAGCACGGGGCTCAAATGTGAAAGCGAGGCCTTCCCCAACACCCACACTGGAAACTGCCATCTGAGCCATGTCACCAGCCCTCCCCATTCCAGAATGTTCTGTCGTCCCCTTCCTTGCTTTTCCTCCATAGTACACACCCCCACCCCATAGGGTATTTTACTCTATAATTTCTCTCCTCACCCTACAAGGTAGGCTTGAAGATAGCACAGCTTTTTGTCTGTTTTAATCGCTTCTCTGTGTCCCTGGCACCTGATACTAGGTGTTCAATAAATACTGTTGGTGAGCACAACAAAGGAGAAATACTCAAGAAGAGCCCCAGGAAAACTAGCTGCCTCTCCACTATGTGGCAAGGAGCCACCTGGAAGCCCCACCCGCCCATCACTACAGCACTTACTTGGCTCCAAGGTTGCCTTTGATGATGGGGGCCGTGACCACACTTTTGCCCTTCATAGGCTGGCTAATAACAGAGAGAGGAACTGTGATCCGCGTAGGCAGCTTCCCCTAAAGAGAAAATGAAATCAGGTTTACAGGCTAGATAAGGAAACCCCCAAGTGTCATGTACAGGGCCACAGAACTGAGGAGTGAGCACTCAGATACTCTCTTTTCCTGTATGCTGCAGGGTCCCGATATTTCTGAGGTGTGGGCCCAGGCTGCCCTCATAAAACTGCCAATAGGCTGTAGTTAAGAGCTCATGTACTGTATTTAGGTAGTCTCTGATCTGTGTAACAGCTCCTCGTTCACACTACCTACAAGAGCAACAACCATATAAAACTGCTGCCAGCAGGATAAATAGGTGCACTAAATCACTAAGGAAAGCGTGTGTTCACTTGAGCACAGTAAGAGTCTGAGCTCCTTCGAGGCCAGGCTCCTCGTCATCTGTGTGCCTCCCGATACCTGGCACACAGTACTGAAGGAAGTGTGATGAAGGACACAGGCACTCAGGAGTTAACAGAGTGCATAACTACTGCTTCACTGGGGCGCAGGCTCACTGGTAGGGAGCAGACAGCAGGGCACGCTAGATTAGCAACAGGTCACATTTTCCAGGTGCTTTCCGTCTCTCCCAGAGATAAGAGGTTAGTTAAGGGACATTAATAATAAACTCAACCAAGTGAAAAGTCCAACCCCAAAGCCAATAAGGTCTAAAAGGAACAAAACAGAAGGTGACCACGCCTAGTCTTTGGGATTTCAGGATGGCAAAGATGAGCTCACTGCATCACCTGTTTTTAGGCCACCTGCTTTTTAACCCCTGGTTGGTAATAAAATTTATATACAGTAAAATCTTGTGTGAATCTGATTTTAAAAACAGATTCAAGAGAAGTAGTTGCTAGGATACTAAGAAAAAGCATCAACACTTCCCTTGAGCAAGCTATTGCTAAAGAAGCCGGGCCCTCAGGTGCAAAACTGTGTCACAGTTCCCCATACCAATCTCCACAGTTTACTCACAATTTGTAGTGCATCAGAAAGCACTGAAAGATGTCAACAGAAAACAGAATACCTTGAGATGGTGCCTCCAGGTGGATTTCCTGGTGGTTTTCTTAAGAATGCCTCAGTTGTGTCAAAAGTTTCAGACCACCACAACACCAACTGGAATCACCCCTTGGTGAACTAGCCTAACTAGCTGACTAGATGGAGAAAAGAATCACTGCTCACTACTTCCCACCCCCTCACATGCTTTTCAGGTTCAGGTGCCCCTGGCTACTACCTTTCTGTGTGAGGAGTCGAGAGCAAAGTGGACCAAGTAAGCACTGTTTCCTTGCTTCCTTAATTTTTGTGATATGAGAACCTAAATAAATACTTCCTTTTAAGCCGCACTGTATTTCAGAGTTTGTTGGCTGGTTGGTTTTACTAATGTTCTTCCTCCACCACTCTGGCTTTTATCCAAATTGCTGAGGTTTTATTATACAGCCTGCTTAGGAAACGTAAAACTGTGTTTTATGCTGTCCGTATTCACCCCACTGTACAGAACAGGGCTCCTTATCCAGAAACTAAAGAGTAGAAATACACATGCACCCAGAAACACACCTATGTTGATATGGGAATTTGCTTTATGATAAATGTAGTATTTCAAGTTAGCAGGTAAGGAATAAACCAGTCAATGATGTTGGAACAAAGTAAGAAATACAAAATGAGATATCTACGACATGCCATTCACAAAATATATTTCAAATGGATTATCAATGACACCTTTTCTAAAACCCTGAAAATGTTGTGAAAATGAAGGCTGATATCTTTATAACCCTGGAGTAAGAATGGCACAAGATGCAAAACCTAAAAGCCATAACAGAAAATGTTGATAGATCTAATCAGATAAAATACCTGTAGAGCAGGCTCCATATGCAAGGTTAAAAAATAACAGGCTGGAAGAAAACATTTTCTATATGTAACAAGAATTAACATCCAGAAGATATACAGAGCCACCCAAACAACATGAAAAGCTGAATACCCCAGAAGAAAAGTGGCAAAGATTTATTCTGCACTGAGAGCACATGTCAATCTCCATATGAATGGATGCCCAACTCCACTAAAGATCAGGGAAACAAAACAGAAAAAGAACTCTTTTCACCAGTAAGATGGGTACTTAACTTAAAAAAACAAAAAAGAAAGAAAAAAACAAGATATCCAGCATTTGTTAGGATATGGGGGAAACAGGAGAGCTGCTGATGGAAGTGGAAGGTGGTAGGGCCTTTTTGGTTGCACAACTAGAGTTATCACAACCTTCAGTATGTATACCTGACCCATTCTACCTCCGCTCCAGAAATACTTTCATGTGTTTCTTCCTGGCAGCACTGCCCTTAAACAGTAAAAACGTATTCTTTAACAGATGAAAGGGTAAAGCACATGCCTTCTGTGGACTATCAGGTATGATTAAAAAGAATGCCGTCAATATCCGTGTAGGATCTAGAACAATCCCCAAAACATATTTTTAAATAAATAAGGCAATCCACAGGACAGTATACAGATGAAGCTCTCTCACAGGAATTTTTGTTTAAACTGAATGTGTACACACTGTACGAAAATGCTCGGGAAAAGGACCAGAAGGATAAATGCCAAAATACTAGTAATTAGTCCTCATGAAGGAAGAAGTAGAGAGTGCTGAAAGAAATTTTATTTTTTACTCTATGTACTTCTGTACTATTTTAATCACTTACGTACACACTACTTCAGAAATTTGTTTCAAAATCAAACAAAAGAGCCTAGTAGGAAATAAGCCTGTGTGGGTCAAATGAAGTGACAGAGACAGGGTCTACTTTCCATTCCTCAAAAGACAAGTTCCCCAAGCAGAAGGGCTATTCTTCCCCACTATGTTACTCACAGCCTGGGACGTGGAAACAACTGTGGTGCTGACAGGGACCTGCCGCACAGCAGAGGCTCCTGCCCCGATGCTGATGGGGGTGCTTGCAGCCCCAGAGGCCACGGCCACAGTCTTGGACACGGCAGCATTCATACTGGGCAAGGACACCGCCGAAGTATGGACAGTTCCAGACCCACTGGCCACTGAGGACCCTTGCTTGGCATGGGTCGCAACTGTGATGGTCTGGCCTGCTTTGGGGGGCATCACGCCCAGGCCCTGCACGATGCGGATCGTGGCAGCTGGTTTTGCTTCTGAAGAAGCCACTGTGTTTTTCCCCTTCTGGTCTGCCACACTCACACCAAGTGCCGGCATCAAGCGAAAAGCTGAACTGGAGGCTTCTGTTGGCTTGAGGTCAGGAGTCACTTTAACCACGGTGGTACCTGTTGGAGTGGACGAAGGGGCACTGGCCGAACTGGCCTTGGCAGGGCTATCCGTCGCGTGGACTGGATTAGAAGTGACGTGTAAGGTGGCAGAAATGCCTTTGCCCGAAGTGCCGCTTCCCGTCCCAAAGAGGTCCTGGGTCAGTTTCACTGTGGTAACCTGGGACTTGGCCAACGTGGCCATCATGTCCGGAGTGATTCGCAGAACCGTCTGGCCTTTGGCATCTGTGGTGATGGAAGAGGGTGGCAGACGCAATACGTCCTTACCCTGGATACGGAAGTTAGTGGCTGTGAGTGGAATGCTGCTGCCTGCCTGGGGCTTCACACCAAGCTGCCCAGTGATTGCCACCTGGATAGGGAAGAGACAGCACTGACAAGGGGATTCCCAGCGCTCAAATGGTTATGAGTATGATCACACAAACCTCCATTTCGTGGGTACGTGTCTTTCACATTTTTCTAATCTTTTGTTTTGAAAACTGGTAAACATTCACAAAAGTAGAAAACAGTGTAACAAATCCATGTACTACCACCCAGCTTCAAAGTTATCACTTTGCCAATCTTGTTTTATCTATCCTTCCCCACCTTTGGGGGGGGTGTGGAGGTGCTGGACAGAGGAGTTGGAATATCTTAAAGTAGGCCAATATATAGCATTTTGCCGATCAATACTTCTTTACATATTTCCAACACAGAAAAGGACTTTTTAAATTAAAAAAATAATAGTAATCACCTACACATTGGACCAGATGGACTTAACAGAGATCATGGAATATTCCATCCAAAAACAGAAGAATACACACCTTTTTTTAAGTGCACGTGAAACATTTTCCAAGACAGATCACACGTCAGGCCACACTCACACAAAAAAGTCCCACCTATTATTACCCAATAATGACCTACAAGTATTATCTAATAATATATATTTGTATATCCCCAACTGTTTCAAAAATGTCTTTTATTTATAGTTGTGCCGATCTTCAATTTTGAGAGGAGTATGGCACAGTGATCAAGCATGGGCTTTGGAGCCGCACCAATGCCTGTGGAAGGCCAATCTCCCATGTGTAACACATGTACTCTTCTAGCCTCAGGGACTGTCTGCTGCATGAGCAATTTCCTCCTCTCTACTGACTGTTGCCATCAGAATGCAAATGTGCTTTAACATTTCCCAACGTACACAGAAGCAGATCCTCATTTACTCCACATTCCCACCAGCCCCCATTCTCTGCTCTCTTTGAAAGTGCAATTGCTTAAAAACTGCCTCTATTCCCTGTCTCTACTTCCTCATCTTACATTCTCTTTTGAATCCATTCCCAAACCACCACCAATCCGCTGGGCCCAGTCAAGTGCACTCATTACCCATAACCAATGAGTGACCAATTTTTAGCTTCATGTCATTCACACCTTCGTATACCCGATATAGATGCTGACTTCAACACACTTTTCTCTCAGTCTGTATTCCAGTCTCTGCACCCCAGTGTTTTCTTCTATCTCAGTAAATGATATCACAATCTACCCAATCACCCAAGCCCAAAGCTGTGGGGCACACTCAACTCCCTTCTTTCAACAGACCCCATAATCTGCCCACTGGAGAAGAATCACACTGGCTCTACCGTCAACCCCATATCCGGAATCCCACTGCCTCTCCTACCTCCAAAGACAACGCACACAAGCCAGCACCAGTTGAGGATCTGGACCTGCTGCGACCACCTCGCCCCTGGTTTCCCTGCTTCTGCTCCTGTCCCTTGAATTCCATCCTACGCGGCAGCCAAGGGGTTCTGTAAATGTACACTAGATCAAGTCGCTCTGGCTCACAATCTTTAAATGGCTCCCCATCACATTTAAGAGAAAATCAAAGTCCAACAGGACTTAACCACAGCTAACCTCTCAAGCAGCCCCCCCCTTCTAACACTTTGATACTTGCTCACTAAGCTACACGCTTGATGGCTTTCCTGTTGTTCTTCAAGCATATTACTAACTCGTGGCACTTTCACTTACTACTCCTATGCCTAGAATGCTTTGTCCCCAGATAATCAAAATACAGCACACTAATATCATTCTTCCCCTCAGACCTTCATAGATTACCTTAGCTCAAATGGCACCCCTGTCACTCTGTAGTCCTTCCCCTGGTTACTGATGTTCATAGCTCTTCTATACCTGTCCCTGAAGTGGTTTTTGTCCCCTAGCCCCAGGAGAAGATAAGCCCACAAAGCAGGGATTCAGTCTATGTCATACACCACCACATCCCCAATACTCTGGACAGAGCCTGGCACAAAAGAGCACTCAGTAAGTATTTAATGAAAAAAATGACAATACTTTACCATTATATGGTTCCGTTTCTTCATCTATAAAACGAGAATAACAAAAGCACCTACCCCATGGCGTTATGAGGATTAAATTATTTAATATCTATAAAATATTCAGCACAGTACAGGCACATGATAAGCACACCTATCATTGCTATTTTACCTAAAAATTCTTTGTCGTTGTTTTTACAGATTTTATTTTTAAGTAATCTCTGTACCCAATGTGGGGCTCAAACTCACATGCCTGAGATCAAGCCGCCCACTGCCTAACCATTCTTTGAAGTTCAATTATCATCTGTGCATGTTCATAACCAGGAAAATAAAAATGTATCCTACTATTATTAAAGGTAAACAGAAAGGCCAACAAAGTGTATAATGTCACACTACAAGATATTCACTAAGTAAATTCATGGGAAGTCTACTCCAAATCAAGAAGCTCAACTACTACATGCTGAATTTTTTGGAAAGAAACAGGGGAAATCTTCAGCATTTTTGAAGCCTGTACTGCCGTTGGTGGGAACTCACCACTGAAATACCCATGAACTAAAGATCAAAGGTTACAAATCATTAAGATCTCTGACTCTCCTCTGCTTTGGGAAAAAGGATTTGGATCCACCCAGAGAGATTTCCACTGACCTGCTTGATAATGTTCTGTCCTGTGACATTCTGAATGACAGCAGCTGTGGAAGCACTCGGAGCGGAGCTCCCAGGAGAACTGGTGGCTGGCTTGCTCGCGGGGCTGGCTGTGGCAGGGAGACTTGTCATCGTGAGCCCTGTCCCAGGTCCAGGCCGCTGCACAGTGGCCGCCGCAGTCTGAGCTTTGACCGGCACGGTGGCCATTACTGTCTGGTTCAAGCGTGAGGTGGAGAGCTCAATTAGATACTGAGACGCAGCCTGGCACAGCGAGCCGCTTCCGGCATGTGCCACTGCCCAGGAAGTGCTCCCCCGAGACTACTTCTGCTCTATCGGTGCTTAAGGCTCACTGTGCTCTAAAGTGCACATTGTAAAGTTCTTGTATCTGTGTGGAGCACCTTAATTTTCAGAAAGCTTGCACATTTAACATCCTGTTGTATTCCTACATACGGAGAACAAATATTATACCCTTTTACAGCAAAGGAAACTGAGGCAGGAAGTAAGACTCTTCTCTAAAATTACCCAACTATTAGCGGTATGGCTAAGATGACAGGCACAATGGAAAGGGCCTGAGATTTAGAATCACATTCCACCTCCATCCACCAGGATCCTGATGTTACAATCCTGGGTAAATCACTAAACTTCTCAAAAGTTCTGATTCCCAACATGTAAAATACAACGACTTAAAAACGCTTAGCCAGCTTTGAACATCAAATGAGTCGCTGTGTGAAACAGCAGCAGCAGCAATAATCTAACGCTCCTTGGTCCTTACCCACTCTGCCAACTGGACCCATCAGACCACCTTGAGGTCCAGCTCTGCCGTCCCCGTTTACCTGTGGCACAACTTTGGTCTGAGTAGCAGTGGCTGGAACGCGCATCTGTGGTCCTGCTGGCATCTGTGGCAGTGTCTGAGTCGGCCCTGCTGACTGCTGAGTAGCAGTAGGAAGGCCAGGCTGGGCCACCACCCGCACCTGGGGCAGTCCAGCCGAGCCAGAGTGGCTCACCACACGGGCGGCTGCCTGAGAATTTGGTGGAGTCTGGCTGGAAGCTGGGGAGAGCATTGTTCCTAGCTGTGGCATTGTGGGTGAAGACACCAGAAGAACACTACGAGAAAATGGGGGCAAGGGGGATGATTAAAAAATAAAGCAAGTTAAGCCATACACACAAAAGATCTCTGGAGGGAGAAAGCTGGAGAAAACAGTGAAAGAGCTCACCCTGAGCTAGATTTCGCTGGCTCTGAGACAGGAGTAGGGCCGCTTTTGTTCACCGAGGACACAGGAGGAGGGGAGATCGGAGTGGCAGGCAGAGCCGGAGTGGTGGGGGTCACAGGTGTGACTGGAGTGGGAGGCATGCTGGAGTCACTGAGGCTCATCTGGCTCTGCTCAGAAGGGCCACTGCTGAGGACTTTCAATGAACTCTCCTTGCTACCAGACTTCTACAAGCAGAAGGCAGATAGTTTAGCCAAAGTCACCAAAGGATGGCATGGTTCCTGATGCAGGGAATTCAGGGAAGGCCTGGCTGCCACCATCCCTGACACCGCTAAGGCAGCTGCTCTCAGGAGGTCACTTACCACCTTGGATGGAGGCTTGGGTTTTTGCTGAAGGGCTTTTCTGGCTTTAGCTGCAGCTGCTTGTGCTTGGTGAATCCGCTCTGCAAACAAAGGTGGTTAAGTTTCAGCAACAGTTCAACCTCAGCACAGTAAGGAGGGTGGTTTCATTAAGAGCCAAGGCCTCACTGGTGGCCTCGCCAACGGGCTAAGTCTTGCCTCTATATTCCTATCCTGCCGGAACGTCATCACAAAGCAGAATGGAATTGGGGCAATAACTCAGAAGCATCCCTCATCTAGTCAGAGCCTCACACACCAAATTCCTCCTCGCTCCGGTCCCGATGCAGGTAGATCCACAGCTTTCGCCCAATGTCGTATTTCACACATGGGTCTTTTTCATAATGCAGCCGATCCAGGGCCCCACTCACTACTGTGTTCACCTGAGAAGCAGAACAAAGTGGAAAAGGGACCAGTCAGACTCAGACACCAGGGAAAAACCACCGGGTGTGAGTCGCAGATCCTATCTCAATCTGGTGGCAATACTACCAATGGCAAGATTCCTGGGAGACTGCGCAGTCCCCTGAAGGAGACAGTGACCTAAGAAGCTGCAGTAGAAGCAGAAGTAAAGGGTAGAGGGAAATCTGTGCTCCACAGACTGCAAGGGTCATAGGTCATCATTGTTCACATTTCTCAGGATCTCCTTCTTTCCTCTTTTTCATTCAGTTTTAAGAAATCATTATGTTGTATATTTTCTTGTAGGTTTTCTTAAATCCATTTTGGAACAAAACATTGTCTCTTTTCCATCCTACCTGAGTGCTGGTGACATCTGGTGCCAGAAACTGGGAGTCCTTGAGCAGCTCACAAATCTCGGCCCTGGTACCTTCCCCATTAGGCAGCCGGGCTGCAGCATCTCGAACTAAGGACATCAGAAAATGGAAAGTCGAAGAGTCAAGCAGGGCTGCCACTGAGGAGCATTGTCCCTCTACCTGCTCTTGTGGGGAGAAGCTGAGGTGTCTCTCTGCCTTAGTCAGACTCAGCACTAGGTGGACACTGCCCTCTGGAGACAGTTTCCTACACTCCAGACACCCTGAGCCAAAACTGAGGTCTGTGAACTTGGGTGAGGAAAAAAGTTATATATCTGACTAAAATTTAGCATTTCCTTCAATTATGAGCAATGGTAACAAACTTTATATTGGCAGTAGTGTGATATTGCGACAGAAATCAGGTATTTTCGTATCACACACATCACAGCTACTGTAGACAACTCACGATACCATTTCCACTCATCGCTATTCGGAAATTATAGGAGCTAAGTGACCTGCTACTAAAGGCTGTCATTTAATAACATAAAAAACACATATATTTCTGCACCATAAATTTAAGATTTTGATAAATATTTTAATAGGACTGGTTTCTTTTAGAACTCTTAAGTATTTTATTCATTTAAAGACAAAATCCTGGGGGCACCTGGGTGGCTCAGTCGGTTGAACGTCCAACTTCAGCTCCGGTCATGATCTCACAGTTCATGAGTTCAAGCCCTGCATGAGGCTTTGGGTTGACAGCTCAGGGCCTGGAGCCTGCTTCGGATTCTGTGTCTCCCTCTCTCTCTGCCCCTTCCCCACCTGCACTCACTTCTCAAAAATAAACATTAAA